GGTCGGCTGCAAGGGAAGCAGCCCTATCATGGCCACTAAAGGAAACTTTTTCCAAATCTCAAACTTTCTTTAGAATTTAAGATTCAAAGGTTGAGGTGAAATTCTGTTAGCTCAGAGAGACTAAATAGCAAATAGCTAACCTCCCCTTGCTCTGTCTCCAAAAAAGGGCTCTCCTTCAGCTAAGCCCCTGCTTAAGAACCCTTGCTATACTTAGTTTCTTCGCACCACTTCCTGTCAGCTAGTTGCTGACTCGACCTCCTGACCCCAGGTTAATCTTACTTAATTAAACAAATGTAATAAGTCTTTGCACTGCTAACAAAAGCCATAGAAACAAATGTAACACACCTTAACACATTTAAAATAGTATTCTTCAGCACTGTGATGCTTAGGAAGCTAACCTCTCACAGTGTGAAGGTCATTTCTCAGCTGAAGAGAAAGGATTCCAAAGAAGATGCCACTCACTTTCTGGGACCTCTTCTCATTAACCTATTGCAGAGGCTCTGGTTAATATAGTTTAGATTTTCCCATTGCTACTGATTCTGATTTCTTTACACTTGGTGCCACTGTTCACAGATGGGCTAGTGATACACAGATGTTTGGTTCTGGGCAGCATGAACCAGGCAGCTCCAACATATCACTGGAGAGGTCAAAAAATACATAATAACAAAATTGAAATTATGTGCTTATAGTGCAGTAGAGACTTAAAGCATGGTATAGGGGGATGATTGCCCATTCAAATGAAAAGTGAGACAAAATGGGTAAGTTCTTTAAAATATATCTATAACCTACCAAATCAGACACCAAAGGTAAGAGGAGAGGAAATGAAACATGAAGATAGTGAATAGCTTAAAATCTATGTGTTATTTATCAAAACAAAGTAAACAGGCCCACATGATCTAGAAGTAATTTTTACCATGTTTTAAATAGGTTCTTAACATCTAGATGCCAGCACAGAAGTGTCAGTATCACCTGGATGCACGTTATAAGAATTCTCAAGGCCTGGTTTATACCTACTAAATTAGAATCCCTGAGTGTGGAGCTGATGAATATGCATAAAATTCACGCTGGAATCTGGGGATTACTATTTCAAGGAATGTATCAACCCAAATTTATACAAGCTATTCTAAAGGATATAAAATAAAAGAAACCACCCTAGAGCTGTCTCATTTTATGACGATATAGCATCCATTCCAGAACTAGTCATAAAATACTATAAGGACAAACAGTAAGCTGATGTTACATAGGATATAAACCTTCTAAACCAAATATTAGCAAACGGAGCCTCTTATATTTGGTGTGTGTTTATGTGTCTGCTTGCCTATCTGTCAGCATGTAACATGACTGTTAGGAATGTCATAGGGAGTTTACTCATAATCAGATTGGAGCTATCTATAGGAAAAGATATTTCTGTATCAGAAAATATGCTACTGCAACAATAACCAATTAGAAACGAAAAAACACATGATAATCTCCATAAGTGCAAAAAAACCACTTTTATACTGCAATGACCCATTTGTGATAGTAATATCCAACTCAGCAAATTAATTCTAAGTCTCATTATGCAAGGCTGCATAATGAGACTCTGCCTCAAAGTATTCAGTAACCAAAGTAAAGCTCTTTAGAGAAAACAAATGATGTTGGTGAGGTGGCTGGATGGTTAAGAGCACATGCTGCTCTTGCAGAGGACATGAGTAGGATTCCCAGCATCCAAGTTGGGGCTCACAGCCGCCTGCCCCGGGGAACCAAATGCTCTCTTTTGTCCTCCTGAAGCACTGTACTCACCCAAACCCACACATAAGCACACACACATATACACATAATTAAACATAAAAATAAGCCTACTGTTGTGAAACACATCTTTTATCCCTGCATTTGGGAAGCAGAGCCAGGAGGATCTCATGAGTCCCAGACCAACCACAGACACATAGTGTGACTCTGTGTAAAATAATAATAATAATAATTAACAATAATAATAATAATAATAATAATACAGTCTTGAAATAAATAACAATTAGCATTGAAGATACAGACAAAAGAATACACTTTTACACACTAATGGTGGGAATGTAAATTTCCAGAAATTGTGGAAGTTGGTGTGGAGGTTTCTCACAAAACCAACAATAGATCTTCCATGTGCCCAAGCTATAATATTCTTGGGTATTTATCTAAAGGGTTGTAAATTAACATGTCACAGAGACACTTGTGCATCAACACTTATTTCAGCAGGTAAGTTACAGAGCCAACCTAAGTATCCAAAAGGAGAAATAAAAAAATGTGATGTATAAATAAATACTGGAAGATATTCAACCCTAAAAAAGAATGAACTTGTATCATTTGCAGAAAAATGGATACGACTAGAGGTAACCATAAACTGAACAAATTAACTCCACCTCTGGAAAACAAACATGTGTGTTCTCTTATGTGTGGCTCATAGATTTATATAGATACAAAAGTCATATGTGTACATGAAGGGAGGCAGAAGCAAAACTCTGTAGGACAAAAAGGAAACTGGTGACCTAGAGAAGCAGCAGAAAGAGGAGGCATGGACAAAGAATATGCTTGGTACATTATACACCAGTGTGAGAGTGTTCTCATGTGCACAGCACTGTGTGCATCAAGTGTACACAATGAAATCTGAAAAACTATGAATTACAATAATTTTAAAAGAAGAGGCCATGAACATGAGGGAGGAGAGAGTAATCAGAGATGTTGTAGCAGGAAGAGAGAGGGAGTGAAATGATATAAATATAGTAATCATTTATGAAATTCTCAAAAAATGATTTAGGAAATCAATAGCAGGCCAATCTGATGACTCATGGATAATGGCACCTATCATGAAGCAGGAAAATAGGAGTTTGATCCCTAGGATCCACAAGGTGAAAGGAGAAAACTGACTTCCCCAGGTGGTCCTCTAACCACTATACATAGGCTGTGCCAAGTGCATGTTTGTGCTCAGGCACATGTTCGCACACACAAATTAATTAATTAAACCAATAAAATAAATTTATCAAAAATATGAAGCCAGCAGAAGTTTCTGCAATAACAACATATATTTTCATGGTATGTTTAATCTTCTCAACTCACATGGGAATACATCTAGCGAAATTAAGTAGCATATGCACCCCTAGTAACTTGGAATAATATGAAGCCTAGGAAGAAGCATGGCATGTTTGTGAAGACAGTGATTCAGCATTTAAAACTCTTACTTATTGTAACATTAGGGTTGTCAGATTTGGCAATTAAATACAAAATACAGCTAGGAGTGGTGGTGCAAATCTGTTATTCTAGCACTTGGGGAGTGGTAAAGAGTAACAATCATGTACACCAAGGGAAAAGTAGGATCATAGCAACCCTTCCTCAAAGCCACAAAATAGCCCCCTCCAAAAAAATCCATCCACCCAACCAAAAGCAAACAATGAAAACCCAACCAAAACAATGGGGGTGGGGGAATAAGACAAACCAAAAGAAAAATCAGTTAAATTTTAACACAGGCCTAGTGAAATATAGGGCTAGCTATTTCAGGCACTTAACAGCAAGCCTGTTGACCTTTCAACCCAGGACCTGGACTCCCATAGTGGAAGGAAAGAACTAACTCTCCCATGGTATCATTAGATCTCCTTGGAAACACTGTGGCACCACCCACACAAACCCCAAACACACACACACACACACACACACACACACACACACGCACGCACGCACGCACGCGCGCGCGCGCGCGCGCATGTACACTCAAAATAAATGTGATAACATTTTAATTGAGTTTCAAGTGAACAAAATAAATTTTCAGCATTTCTATCTCCTCCAAATTGAAATAGTTCTTCCTGGAAGGAGGAAGGAGACTTCCATGAGTCTGGAAATATGATCACTAAGAGGCTCAGGAAATGCACCAAACTTACAGGGCTCACCAAGCTCAGAATGTTATGTGACTCACAAAACCACTTCCAAATGTTATGATAGTACTAAAAGGTTGATGGGGGCAGGTGGGATTCCATTCATTTACATCTGTCTGCAAACTAGAGGGGAACACAAGTGGCAGATGTTGTGAGATTCTAAGTAACTTATGAATAAACCCCTCACCCCTGTTATTCCTCACCAATGCCCCAGTGAGTGACCTTCACCCATGCCCCTGTGAGTGACTCTTCACTCATGCCCTGTGAGTGACTCTTCACCTATGCCTTTATGAGTGACCCCCTACCCATGCCCTTGTAAATGACCCCTCGCCCATGCCCTTATGAGTGACCCCTCACCCATGCTCCCATACACAACCACAGTGAACTCACTGACTCTCCAAGGCAGACTCGGGTAGAATTTGTTTTTGTTATTCTACCCAGAGTGAACAAACATTAGTTCACATCTTCCCAGGAAAAGTCACACAACATTAATGTATGACTCTGTCTTGGTATAGAAGTAAAACTCAGCAACAGGAAATGTGGGGAAAGAGTATATCTATATAGAAGAAAAAAGTCTATCATGGGGATAAGTTGCATCACTTAGGATTTCTTTTCTTTTTTTATTTTTTTTTATTAGTTCAAATTAGGAACAAGCTTGTTTCACA